GGCTTATATAGATTTTAAAATATTAAGTTAATAGCTTTATATAATAAATTATAGGGAAATATATTAAAGGTTTATTTAACCACTTGCAGAGATAAATCATATCCTTAATTAACAGCTTAATAATAAGGATAATATTCTCCTTAATATAATAAGCATATAGTAAAGCATACTACTGCATAAAAATGCAAAATAACTTTAAATATAGCAGCAGTATTTACTTTCCTTTAATATTAGCCTTAGTATAGTAATATTTTTATATAAGGAGATTAATAGTAATATAGCAGACCTATATAGGCAGTAACCTTAGCCATGCCTAGCTAATATAGGTCTAATAAAGCCTTATCTCCTGCCTTACTGCTATTTACTTATAATTATACTCCTTTTTTACTAGTATTTAAACTATAGCTTTATAAAAATAAAGTAAATCCCTTATATTAATAAGGAAAATACTTTTTATATCTTTATACGCTATTTTTATAAAAGAGTTAGTCCTTTAGCTAAAATTCCTATACTATTTAATCTAATAATATAGGAATTAATCTGCCTAAGGGAGATACTCTTTAAGGAGATAGTTAATAATTACAGGCTGCTGCTTGCTAAAGTAGTTTATTAAAGCTCTCTAGGCCTTCTTATAGTTAGCTTTAGTTTTTATATATAAAATAGTATTTTAAGCTTACTTTATACTAACTTTACTATACTTAAATAGTAATAACACTGCATTTAAGTGCAGCAGCTCCTCTTATATAGCCTTATTAGCAGTAAGCTTATTAGCAGCAAGGCTTATAGCAGGCTAGGGAGCAGTATTAGGTTAGGCAGCAGTATAATTATTATTATCCTTTTAATATAAGGCAATTTTAGTATAGATATTTATATTAATATAAAATATATAAAGTTACTACTATATATTTAAAAATATATATTTTAATGCATTTTTTAATGCTATTTCCTTATTTATTATAATAATATAAGGCGCTAAAATATAAAGCTATTATTAAAAGGCATCTAGCTAGTTATAAAGCCACTTATAGGCCTACTACTTTTTATTATTAATAAGCCTAAAGGTAAAGTTTACTACTAACTTTTAGTTTATAATGCTTATAACCTAAAATAAGTATATTTAAAAGCAGTTAGTCTTATATATATTATTAAGATTAAGAACTTTAAAGAATTGCTTTTATATCCGCTTATACTATAAATAGGTTTAGAAGACTATAATAACTTTCTAATTCTTATTATAAATAATAGTATAATAAAGCCTATTATATTAAAGGAGGTTAATCCACTGCTATATAGCTATAAGACCTTTAAGCTTTAACTATTAAATAGCCTATTAGTTATTATAAAGGTCTTTAAGAAAGAAATATAATAGCGCTAAGCTTTAAGCCCTAATAATCTCTCTTATTTTATAAGTGCTAAAGGACTTATATTATAAGAGCGTCCTTTTAGCTTCCTGCTATGCTAGTATATAGCAGTAATAAACTGTATAGGCTAATAAACTAAAAGATATATTATAGTTATGCTAGCCTTTAACTACTTAAAAAGTCTATTTTTAGTTTATTTTCTTTACTGCTATTACTATAATCTTAAACTAACAGCTATACTTTTAAGTAGCTATCTGCTTAAGGCTAGTGCTAACTATAGGTTAGGCTGTCCTTTAGTTATAAAGAAGAATATAGCATATTAAAAGCTTAATATTATTAAACTTATAATAGTTACTAAGTAACTTTTTAATAAGGGCAGCGCTGTTATTATAATAGAATGTCTGCAGAAAGTTAAATAGCTTATTAAAGGAGTTAAACTTACTTCCTGCTAGCAGCAGCAGTAGCAGGATTAGCCTTATAATAGGCTCTTTAGGATTATTAGGATTATTATTAGCAAGGTTAAGGGCATTATTAATAACAGCAGTGTTAGTAGTATTATTAGCTTTAGCAGTGTTAGCTTTAGTAGTAGCTATAGCAGCAGCTTTAACAGCAGCTATAGCAGCAGCAGTAATAGCTTCTAAATAATCCTTTTTATTAGCTATTATTATAAGATTTATCTTTAACTGCCTTAGTGTTTTAGCTTATGTTATAATTCTTATAGCGCTATAGCTGCATACTGTTTTTTAGTAAAGCAGGCTAGGATATAGAGAAACTTAGCCTAATTAGGCTTAGTTAGGTAGAAATATAGCCTAAATAGTAATTTAATATAGCCTGAATAGTAATACTCTTTATTAAAAACTATTTTTATATATAAAAAAAATAATTTAATAATGCCTTAATTTTATATAGCCTTGCATTTTATATTATAAAAAGTAAACTTATAAATATAAAAGTCCTGCTTTAACCTTTATATAAATCTCTTAGCCTAGGAATATAAGACTATTATTATATTACCCCTAGCTATAAGAATAGTATTAGTATTATATATAATATCTTTAAGTTATATAGTAATAGGCCTAGATAAGGATCTTATATTCCTCTTCTAGTTATAGTAATATGCAGTTGCCTTTATTAAATAACTGTAAATAATACCTATTTAGTTAACTATATAGTCTTAAGTAAAGAACTTAAAAAGATTTAGCTATAAAAGTAATAGTTAAGTAATAACCCTTTTAGTATAGCTTAGCTGCTATAATAGTATATTCTTTAAGAGTTTTACTATTATACTATATAAATATAAGTAGATTAGTATCTAGATTAATTTAATAATCTTAAGCATATTAATAAGGCTTTAAAAATTCTATTACTATAGAAATAATTAAAAATATAAAGATTTAAGAGAGTTATAGCAAAAAGAAGATATAGCTTATATATAGCAGGTGTTATAATTATAAAGAATAATATATTAATATTATAGTATTATATAAGGTGTCTTTTTTATTATAATTTTAGCAGTATAATTTTAAAAATAAATAAAGTATATAAATAAATATTAATACCTTAATTTATATAATATTAGTATTATAAATAATATATCTTTTTATAAATTAACAGACCTTTTATAAATTAATATGCCCCTTATCTTAGTAGAGCTAGGATAGGAAATATAGTTATTTTTAAAACCCCCCTAGTACTTAATATAAATATCCTTCTTAACTTCTTTATAAAAAATGCTATTTTAATATTTATCTGCTTTAGTTTAAGATTAAGTATAGTAGTAATAATAAATAAGGCCTTATATATTATTAGCTTAATTATAAAGGTAAATATTTTTAAGTAGTTTACTTCTGCAATCTGCTTAAAACTTTTAATAACCTACTTTACCTTATAATATATAATCTAGTTATCTAGTCCCCTCTTTAACTTATATACCTACTTTTCTTTAAAGATATTTATAAATAGGTTAAGGTTAATAAGTTCTTAGGTTTTATTATTCTTAAAACTTAAAGCTCTTTAATTATCCCTTCTTACTACTTATTTTAAAAGAAACTACACTTAGCCTTCTTAAAGAAGTGCAGTTTAATATTATTAAGTTAGGTCTTAGCTAAAGCAGTAAAAGTAAGGATAATCTAAAATAACACCTAGCTTTATAGTAGATATTAAAGTTCTAAATAATTAAAAACCTTATTATATTTAAAATGCCTAAGGTTAAATATTAGCAGCTATAGAAATATTATCTTAATTATTAACTATATAAAGCTAGTCTTATAATATTACTTTAGTTAACTTTAAATTTAGGTTTTTATAAACTATATATTAATAAAAGGCAACTATAAACTCTCTTCTTTTATAAAAGACTAGCTAGAGAGAAAGAAAAGGAAAATAAATTGAGTATTGCTATTCGGGCTGTATAAAATTGCTATTCGGGCTGTAGTGTAAGTACCTGTTAAATTTCACTTAAAACACTACCTTTTAAACCCTAAATAATACTACTAAAATAAAATAAATAAAAATTTTAAATAATATTTTTAGCTTATTTAATAGCTATCTTTATAGAATATAATTTTTTTATAATTTTTATAGCTTTTATATAACTAGAAAAAGGTATAAGAATATTACTATATTTTAAAACTAGTTTTAAGGCTATATATTATATAAAATTAGGTAACTTTTTATACTTATATATAGCTTATAATATAAATATTATTATTTCCTTAAGTATATACTTATATAAATAATACTTATAGAAAAAATCTAAATTTAACTTAGATTAGCTTTTTAAGCTATTATATATTAAGAAATTCTATTTTTAAATATAAAACATAAAACTTAACTATATAAATAATTTAAAACTAGTTTTATCTTTCTTATAGTATTTTTTTAGAATTTTATATAGATTTTTAAAGATAAGGGGTATTTTAAAAGGAAGTAACACACAGACCCCCACTAAGCTTAAAGAGGTTAGTTACAGCCCGAATAGCAATTTTATACAGCCCGAATAGCAATACTTAATAAATTAATAGCTATAAATATATTATAGGCCTAAGGCCTATAGTGTTATAAGGTGGTCTTAAGTTATTAAGGTAAGGACTACTTAATATATCCCCCTTAGGACTAATATACTAAAATATTATTATAATATAACTTAAGAAATTAATAGTATTTTACTAATTATAAAATATAGGCTATTTTACTATATATAAGAAATATAAAATAAATTTAAGAAATAGCTGCTATTCCTTTAATTAAGAAGAAATAGTGCTAATAAAAATAGTAAATTAAATTAAGGTTTTCTAGTTATTAAAGTTTAAAAGTTACTTTTACTTATTAAAGTGTAAGGCTTCCTTAATTAAAATAGAAATAGATTACTAAAATAAAAATAAGTAGAAATAGGTTATTAATATAATAATAAAAGCTTATTACTTCTAAAGCTTTTAAGCAGCTTTTTTTTTATTAAATAGGATGCTTTTCTTATAAAAGATATATTAGTATTATTAATAGTTAGGGTTTAATAAGATACTTATATCCTAAAGTATTAAAAGTATAGGAGATAAATTTATCTTAATTAGTAAATAAGATGCCTTTTATAATAAAGGTCTCTTTAATATAGACCTAGTTAAAGTAGCTGCTTATCTTAAAATGCCTTCAAGTTAGTATTATAATTTAGGAAGGATAAGAAGACTTATACTACTTTTTATTATAAATCTAGCACTTTTAAACTATATTAAATATAAACCTATTATAGTTTAAATCCTTATTAGTATAAGAAAAGAAAATAGGAAATAAGGTATAGTTAAGGTAATAAAATTAGTATACTTATTATAATTACCCTTACTATTTAATAAATATATAAACTTTAAATAAATCTTAACTATTAAATAGCATTAACTATAAGTCCTCCTATTTATATTATAACATATTCCTATTTAAACTATAGTAGTTTATACTACTAGCTAAACTACTAGGGGGGTCTTAAAAGTTAACTACTTACTATAAAAGCATAGCTTACTATAAAAGGCCTATTAATTAAGAAAATAAGATATTAATTTAAAAAATAAATATAATACCTAGCTTTATATATAATTTATATAGTATTTAAAGTAATATTTTAGTATAAGGTAAATATCTTATTAAACAGCTTATATAATAAGTGATTAGTATATCTAGTTATATGCATACTACACCTAAAATTAGGTACTGTTTTTTTTTAAATTAACATCCTATTTTCTTAATTAATAGGCCCCCTGTAGTAAGCTATGCTTTTACAGTAAGTGGTCGACTTCTAGACCCCCTAAGTAACCCCCTAGGTAAAATATCTTATACCTAAGCACTAGAATATAGTATTACACACTAGAAGTTATTACCATCAGAGATCCATAAAGATCGTGAGGTAAAGGGCATACAGGATCACACTAAAGTATATGCTACTTCTGCCTCTGCCTCTACTACTGCTGCTGCTGCCTCTGCTACGGCCACCTCCTTAGCTATATGGCAATTTTAAGCGATGCTGTTGATCTCGCGCTGTAATAAGGTGGTCGGCTGCGGTGAGGTCGGCCGCGGTGAGGTTGGCCGCGATAGTTGAATATAGGTAGAAGCCGTGACTATGTATAGCGTTATGTGAAGACAAGCCTGCCATTAGCTTATACTGTAAATAAGTATATAGTAATAGAAGTGATAGTGTATGCATAGGAATTTTACCTTATGCATAGACTACTATAGTTTAAATAGAGATATACTATAGTTTAAATAGGAGGACTCTTAATTATTTTTAAAAGCTTTATAAATTTAGTATGCTTAATCTTTATAAGTGGCTTTATTAAACTATTTGCAGTTATTTTTTATATACTAATTTACTATATCTTAAAGTCTCTTTATTTTACTTTATTAATAATCTATTTAAAATAAATATTTATATGCCTTATTTATATTATATTATATAAATTAAGAATAGTAATTCTAGTATTTTAAGAATTAGTATATAGAATTACTTAGGGGGTCTTAAAAGTTAACCACTTATTATAAAAGCATAGCTTACTACAGGGGGCCTATTAATTAGAAAAATAGGATATTAATTTAAAAAAAAACAGTACCTGATTTTAAGTATAGTATATATATAACTAGATATATAAACCACTTACTATATAAGCTGTTTAATAAGATATTTACTTTATACTAAAATGCTACCTTAAATACTATATAAATTATATATAAAGCCAGGTATTATATTTACTTTTTAAATTAATATTCTATTTTCCTAATTAACAGGCCCTTTATAATAAGCTATGCTTTTATAGTAAGTAGTTAACTTCTAAACCCCTTAAGTATAGGCTTTTAGTCTTTAATACTTAGATTATTAAGGATTTTCTTAATTTAAATAGCTAATATTTTAGCTAAGGTAAGATTTATAAATTTAGCTTTAGTTAAGCTTATAGTAATAATAGTTTATTATTTACTTTTTTAATAAACTAGTTTATTTTTAACTAATATAATATAGCTTACTATACTAAATCTCTTAGCTAAGTTATTAAGCAATACTATATTAATATAAACCTTAAAATTAAGATTTTTAATATTAAATTTATTACTAAGTTAAATACCTAAATTAATTATATATTAAAGGTATTAAAAAAGATGCTTTAGGATTTTCTTATAGTATTTTATTAAACTAGTATTAGCTTTATAAAGCTTTTAAGTAGTATATATAATATTAGGCCTTATACTTATTAAAATAAAGTTTAAGCTTTTAGTTTATTTTAGCTATTTTTTTACTAATATAATAACTTCTTATTATTTTTAATTATAAAGAATTATCTTTTTAAGTAGCTATAAGGTTTTAGCTAGATTTTAAAGTATTAAAATAAACTTAGTAATAACTTTCTTAATATAAGTGCTTTAGCTAAGTATAATTATTTTATTTTTTTAATCTTTATAAACTTCTAGTTTAAAAAAAATAAGTAATCCTATTTAAACCATAGCATATTCCTATTTAAACTATAGTGGTCTATGCCTATACTAAAATTATTATGCTTACACTACTAATCCTAGAGCTGCACACCTATATACAGTATAAGCTAATAGTATATCCTATAGCCTGCATAATAACACTATAAATAACAGTATTGCGATCTTTAATACTGTAGACCCTCTGCCTTTATTATTATAACTGCCATTACCCTAGGGCTAAAGCCATAACTGCAGCAGCAGCAGGGCCTCCTTATAGTTATCTATAAGTCTAAGTTGCAGCCAGCTATCTATACCTACGCAAAGATCATAAGCAACCTGGCGACGGTTTAAAGCTAATGCTGCTGCTGTCCCTTCTAGTAATATCCTTAACAGTAATAACCGCCAGTATGCTACACTGTATTTTGCTGTGCGGGCGTGGACCTTACCACTTAGGGGTGTCTCTCTAGCTGTTGCACAGACCACTACGGTTTAAATAGGAATATGCTATAGTTTAAATAGGATTACTTAAAAAAATAGCTATATCTTCTAGCTTTTTAATTTAAAATAAACCTTTTAGCTATATTACTATATTATAAATAATTAATATCTTTAAGGCTATAACTATTATATTATTTATATATAAAATTAAAATAGTACTGTTCTTATATTTAAAGATATAAAGCTAAAATTTAAAAGGTTTAAAATTAATTATAGCTTATAGCTATATAGCTTTTTTAAACTACTATAAAGAAGCTCTTAAATAACTACTAGGGGGGTCTTAAAAATAACTGCATTTCCTATCCTAGCTTTACTAAGATAAGGGGGCTATTAATTTATAAAAGGGTTATTAATTTATAAAATACTTAAATCTTAGTATATATGCTATATAAAATAAAGTACTATTTTATAAAACTATTACCTTTACTTTAATAAAAGCTATTTTACTTAAATTTAGAATTGCCTTATAATAAAAAGCAGCCTAATAGTCTTTTTTCCTTAGAAATTATAAAATTAGTAGTTTAGGGGTACTTTATATTATATAGTATATAATACTATAAGTAATATATCTTTATTTTATAAATTAATAACCCTTTTATAAATTAATAGCCCCCTTATTCTAGTAGAGCTAGGATAGGAAACGCAGTTATTTTTAAGACCCCCCTAGTATAAAAAGCTTTCTTTAAATAATAAACTTTTCTAAATCTATTATTAAAGCCCTGTGGTTAATATATATAAACTTTCTCTTTAATATTAGCATTAAGGAATGCAGTAATAGTATTAAATTACTACTACTTAATATTATTAGTTATTATAATTAAATAAAATACTTTAACTAATGCAGAATAGGCTATTATAGTATAAAGTTCCTTTATTAAATAGTCTATCCCCTAAAGTTAGTCTTCTTAAATAATTAAGCATGCCTTTACTATAGGATTACTATTAGCAGGATGCTTTAAGTTATATATCTATTTATTATAAAGGATTATAGTATCCTTTAATAATATAACTAGGCTTTAGGTCTGTTTTTTAATTAAACTATTATATTATTTTTTTATTATAAGGAACTATTTAGTCTTATAATTATACTTCTTTTTAGTATTATTTTAAAGTATTACTAGGGGGGCTGTATAAAATTACTAGGGGGGTTATAACTAGCCTAAATAGGCTTAGTAGGGGTCTCTGCGCAAGGACTTATAGAAATCTCTTCTAACTTTAAAAATATATAATTAATTCTAGAAAAATACTAAAAAGAAAATAAATATATTTTATAAAAGCTTATTAAGTAAACTAATATATTTTAGCTAAAAATCTTATTTATACTTAATAAAGGCCTAAAAAAACTAAGTTTAAGTTAAAAGCTAATTCTTAGCTAAGTAAATACTTATATAAGCATGCACTTAGTATTTACTAATAGTTTATAAAGCGCTTTTTAATAATATATAAAAAGTTACCTAATTTTATATAAAATTTATATAAAAAATTAAGCTTAAACTTAGCCTAGGTTTCTACTACTATTATATAGCTTATAAAAATTAATAAAAATATTTTAAAAAATTATATAGTATTTTTAGCTAATAAATTACTTATATATATTTTAATTATATTTTTTTTAAATTTTATTATATATAGAAAATGTCTTATAAAAATATAGTATATAAAAGAAAAAAGTAAGGTACTTAAACTACAGCCCCCCTAGTAATTTTATATAGCCCCTGCAGTAATACTTTTAATTTAATTCTTAAGAACCTTTATGCCCTTATTAAGTTATTACTTAACTTTAAAAGTTATAAATATTATAAGTATTAGTTATTCTTTTATAAATTTATTATGCTTTTACTATTTAATAGTCTTAACTATTAATATAAATTTCTTTATTTTTCCTTTATATAAAGCTTTATAGTTAACTTAAGTAATACCTTTTATAAAGTAATACTATTATTAATTAGCTATATATATTTTATTTATTTAGCTTAATTTAGCTTATTTAAGTATAGCTAAGGTTATATTCTTAATATTACTTATAAGGTTTTATAAGTTAAGGATAATAATAATAATAGCATCCTAGTAAATAGCTTTAAGCTTAATTAAATATTAGTTATAAAGGTTATAATAATTCTAGTTAGTTAAGAAGGTCTTATTTTATAAATCTTTTTATAAAGTAAGCTCTAAGATTTAAAAATACTTGCCTTTTTTATAATTTACTAGTAATTACTATTAAGTATTACTATCTAGGCACTAATAGATTGCTATTTAGGCACTAACTAACCTAAATAGGCATAGTGGAGGTCTATGCCTATAGACTTACAGAAATCTCCTTTAACTTTAAAATTCTATAAATAATTCTAGAAAAATAGTAATAAAAAACAGACCTTAATTTTAGCTTATTTATATAGTTAAATTTAGGATTATATAATAAAAAAGCTATTTAGTAAATAACTTTAATCTTAAAAACCTATTTTTAGTTTAAAGGCTATTTTTAGCTTAAATATAAGTTATATAAGTATGCATTTAGTATATTTATAAACTGCTTTTAGTAGGCTATATAGCTATATAAAAAGTTACCTAATTTTCTTTAGCTTTTATATATTAATAGCTAGTTTAAAATACTATAAGCTTTTTTTATAAATTACTAGCTTAGAAAAAATAAATAAAATATTTAAAAAACAAGATCTTATTATTTAGCTATTTCTTTAAAGAAATATATTTTTTATATTTTTTATTTATTTTTATTTAGCTAGTAAATAAGCTTTTAAAACATAGCAGTTTAAAGGAAATTCTTTAGGTACCTCTACCAGTGCCTAAATAGCAATCTATTAGTGCCTAAATAGCAATACTCTTACTATTAAAGGATATCTTTATTATTATTAGCCTTAAAATACTTAGATTTATTAGCTTTAGTATTATTATTAATTACTTTATTAGCCTTAAAGATATTTTAAATAGTAATTATATTAAAAGCCTGCTATAGTCTAGCTACTTAGCTAATTACTATTTAGCCTTCTTTTTTAATCTTTAAGTTAATAAGTATAGCTTTATACTTAATTTCTAGTCCCTCTT